AATGTCTCTATTTTTTGAATATACACTAGTCCTATAAATTTTGTAATATATTTATATGAATTAATTTTGTCTGGCAAAAAATCATATGTAACAGTCCACATATAATAAGAGAAAAAATAAAATAAGTTTGAGCAAAATTTTTTTAGTATTGCTAAGTTAATGAAAAATATATATTACAATTTAAAAAAAGTACGTAAAAATGTTTATTTCAAAAAGCAATTACTTGTACTTGCAGTTTAAGAAACAGGCACTTGACGTACTAAAATGGAATTAACATTTGTGACATTATTTCTTTTAAATTTTAATGTTATTAGGTGTTAGACCTAATTAAAAAAACAAGTGGATTATTTATTATTAGATATAATACTATAAAAATTGTAAACGTGTTTTAATAAATAATTACTTGCATTTCAAAAAACACATACAATTGATCACATTTCATATTAAACATTTTTTGATACCGACATTAAATAATCTGATATAATGAAAATTTTATAATCAAAATATTAAAAACGTTAAATGAGGAATTAATGCGTTCATTAAATGCAGTCGTTAAATCATTTGAAATATTTAAATTAAAAATAGTTTGAATAATGTGCTACAATTGATGACTAATTAAATATCATATCCTCGCGGTTTTAAATTATTTGTACATGTATATATATATATATATATATATATATATATTGCCCAAATATGAACAATGCTTTTCAAAAATTCAACAATGTTTATCCTTGCACTTCCTAAAACGGTAAACTATTCATTACTAAAATACGCGAAACTTATGGTATGCTAAAAATTAGCATAGAATCTATAAATAAATATATGACAATAACAATGCAATGACCTTAAAATTTCTTTCTTGACGCGTGCTAATTTATTAATGCAATCCGAACACGTAAAAGTTCAGTAGCTTTTAATTAATGGTAATATTAATTATAGTTGAAGGGTCGATACAAATTTAATATTTTATGCAGATTATTATAATTATCAGTAAGTGCTAAAGGGTTTATTCTCGTTTTTATGTCATTTTACGAGCGTGAATTAAGTTGATGGCATTCCTTCGTCTAGGCATCCAGAAAGCTTGCTGATAAAGAGCGTCGCCTACTCTATCACTAATGCAATTTATTAATTAAATTTCCTTAACAATTAAATTGTAGTTTATATTAAATTTAAATTAGTGCATGCTTTTATTCTAGCATAACCTTGCATTATTTTTTTACATCATAAAATAAGTGAGGACAAAAAACTCCAAACATGCACTATTTTGGATGCTATTGGATCAGGTTATGTCTCGTACCTGCATTATGTATTTTGTGAGATCTCTTTATGAACAAAAAATTACTAAAAATAAAAAAAAATATCTTAATTAAATTAATTTTTCTTATTGTAAGATATCAGAGCTACCGAGACTTATTGATATTGATACGGAACACTGTAGGCGTACGTATTGCGCCCGGTTATTCTTCAAAACTTTGATTATTTTTCATAATTAAACCTCTTCTCATATGCCTATAATATTTAATGGGGTTCGGTTGGACTATCAATACTATCACCATGCAAAGTTTCATCCAAATCCCAGAGAGGAAACCTGAGGTTCCCCTTGTGAGAATAGACTTAAAAATTTAAGTTCTCTAATTTTTACAATATGTTGCAACAACATACAGGAAAATCTTGAAAATATTATATAATTATATTATATAATAATTAACATTTATACATCTCTTTATATAATATTTAATATTTTTCTCAATTTTTTCTTGATTTTGCAGGTCAAAGAGTTCAAAAATATTCATAGTCAAATATATAAATCTATTTAAGCTTTTCCGTACTAGTATTGTCATCTGAGGACACATGAAGTAAATTTTTCTTTAAAAATTTAATCGGCTTTTCATAACCTACTTCCAACATTAAAATTAAACGATAAAAATTTTGGGTAATTTAGACTTAATTATTCTAACATATCGTATGTTAGTCACACCTGATTTGAATCATCTTAAATATGACTCATATAAAGAATTTTAATATAAAACGCAATAATATTAAACAAACAATAAAACGAAAAATTGAACAAAAAAATAATAATAAACATGAATTACTAACATCTAACTTATTAACTTTTTTTTTAATTTTTGATTGTGTTTTATAAACAAGACATTAACAAGAAATATTTCATCATCAGTAAGTACTAACATATAACATGAAGAATAAATATTCTAAATTTAGTGTAATTTATAATAAATATAAGGGGCAATTTTCTGATAAAATAGAAATGTTATAGTAACACTGTGCATAGGGTCTATCTTTGTATGAACTGACAGAAAGCCTTGTATTTGCTGTTCAATCAGGAGTTTACACATAAAACCTAACATCACGTATGCGTTATCAATGAAACATCAAAGTGATGCACTTGTGATTAAGTAGCTTTAAGACGTTTGTGCGTTTTGTAGGTTAGATTTTATGTGTAAAACGCGTAATCGCACAGCAAATACATAGCTTTTTGGGGGTTTGTCACTACCGATTCATACGAAAATAGACCCGTAACATATTGTTACTATAACATTTCAATTTTATCAGAAAATTGACCCTTCAATGTACATAATTGCACTTGCAGTTAACACTAAAACTGTAAGTAATTTTGAATTTTGGTGGCCGTAGTTGTAACTAATTTTAACAACTTTCAGAAACTTTTTGACGTATCATAGGCAAAGTCGGAGTCTGTATTATCAAATTATTATTGTTGAGTATATACTCTGGCTTTGATCTGATAGTTTTAGTTTTGAGTGCTAAAGTCAATTATGTAGTGGAGCTAGGGGCTACCTGTAACAGGGATAATTAGTGACATATTAAAATATTTTTTGTCTCGGTTGGAAATGTAAACCGTCCTGCATATGGCTGAGAAAAATGATCATTATAGACATATGCACATCAAATTATCACATATTTTATATATCTATGGGTTTATCTGTTATATATAATTTTTTTAAAAAAATATTTAAAATTTAGTATTTAATATATAAAAACAATTCTATAAATATTGTTTATAATTTCACAATTATTCACTTTCTAGAAAAATTGCGACACGGCGCCCACGCGCTTTGATATTTCGTTTTTACGCAGCTAATATATTGCGATTGCTTTTAAAAAAGTTCAAAATTTTCTAAATATTTTAATGTATAAAAAGATCAAATTTTTCAAAAAGGTAATTTTTTTCAAATTTTTCAGAAAAGTCAATTTTTTTCAAAAGTTTGAAAAATCGCTTTTTACAGAGTTCTAAAAAAAATGATTTTTTTTTTAATGTAATTTTTGGTACGGGAAGTTCCAGCAATTTGCTTTAAGGCACAAAGCCCTACACCACTAGTTTGTATTAGAATAATAATTGTGGTATACGTTGATTTATGATGAAAATTTATATTACAGGACACATTATATATTATACTTGAATTAGTTATAGTTTTGGAAATTATTACTTAGAAACAAGTAATTTTTTTTTAGAAATGAGTAAAGAATAAACTATCAGATGCATTATTGTCATTTTTTTGTCGCTACTACTTATTCTGGTAGATGATATAACTAGCCTCAAACATGGGGTAAGTTGTAACACCGCACTTTGTCTAGAAATTGATTAATTATGGAATAATGAACAGCTGTTGCAGATTGATTAACTTTCCGTAGGGAAGTTATAGTAATGGGCCGAAAATCGAAAATGAAAATTTTTGCATATCTTTACGTTTTGAAGGTTTCTGAACATTTTAGCATACCTCAGAAAAAATTGATATTTATGTGTGTATGTATGTATGGATACAATTTTTGTCCACGTTTTCGGGCGCACGGATCAACGGATAGATAGAGAGATATTGATAGAGAAATGTGCTGATTAGTTTTTGGCAAAAGTCGGTCTAGCCGTTACGGAGATACGGAGCAAAGAGTCCAGAAAATAGAAATCGATTTCTTGAGAAAACAGAGCATCCGATTTGAATGATCCAAAAAACATTCAATTTGTAAAAATTGGTAGCAGTGGTGATTAGTTTTTGGCAAAGGCAGGTCTAGCTGTTTTGGAGATACCGAGCTAATTGTGCAAAAAATGACAGTTTTGCAGAGAATTGAGCATCCGATTTGAATGTTTCAAAAAACTTTCTGTTTGTTTTGACAAAATAATTGCTTTTGAAAAAAATAATTGTTTCAATTTTTTTCTCAATTTGTTTTTGTATAAGATCAGATTTTAACTTTAATTCTGGTTAAAGTTCTCAAGCTCACTTATATACTTTAAATAAATAATTTTAATTTTGTAATTCAGTTTATATAACTCTTATACATATTAGACAATGTTACAGTATTTATAATAATCTGTATGAAAACATTTAATATTACTCAAACATTTCGTTACGGTACGGAAAGTTCCAGCAATTTGCTTTAAGGCACGATGCCATGCACAACTAGTTTATACTTGATTCGGTAGAGGAATACCTACAGGCACTATTCACGATTATTTTGTAGAAATATAATCAGTGGAATTCAAGATACATTAATTTAAACAAAAACTGTTACAACAAGCAATATTTAATATTATTAGTGTTTTTTTTATAATGCTCAGTGTTATTTATTAATATTTATTGATGGATAAATAAATATCGAAGCGTGTGGAAAATTTCTATAAGATTCTATAGAATAAAAAAATCCCAAGATATTATGCATATAAACACATATGACCTGTATAATTACATATGCTCGTACAAAAATATATGTATAATATGTGTATTGCTATTAATATTAATTAATATTTAAATAAGTCATTCTGTTTATATCAGTTATGATTTTCTAAAGTGAATATGAGGCTTTACACGTTCATATGTAAATTTTCCAATGTCCAGCTCTACATAGTATCTATATAGAGAAGAGATCAGTTGTTCGTGGAGTCGTCTTAACGAAGAGAGTCAAATTCATTTTCAAACGAAATGCGTTTACGACGTGTTAGTCAGTCAATAACAATTTCTTCTTACTTTTTTCGACGTTTTTGTCTCTTCTCTTTCACGATCAGGTTTAGAAGTTGTTTCACACCAGTATGTTAATGCCATCTAGTACCGTTACACTTACCTACATATTATACACATGATTTTAGATATTTAGTATATAGGGGAGTCAGGAGCTTGTTGTAACAGTTTTTTTTTAAATTAATATATTTTGAGACTGATTTAAAAAAAACTTGAATTGAAATTTAAATTTCTTATTTTTAATTGCGGTTTGCCCACTCCTATCTTATTTCAAATTATGGGGCTAATTTTCTTTATTTTAAATTGAAAAGTACATACACAAATCTAAGTTTTCATCATAAATTCTTATTCCATAATGATAATTTCAGTAATCGAATCATTTTTCTCCCTGCAAGTCAATGAATAATTTTCAATTAACTTTTACTCAGATTTTCTGATTATATTTTTATAAAATGAAGATGAATAGATACTATTACTATTCCATTATATTCTTAATAGAGTATATGGTCCGCTATATAATTATACCAAATAAAATAAAATTGTAAAGATAACCCATAAAATGTATATGACTAATGTACGCGTATACAAAGTCCACAAATAAACAATAAAAAAATTAAAAAAAAAGTTATTCCACTACTGAGTTCGATGAAAATAATTCTATAACTATTGTGTATTATTTCAAAATTAATAATTTTCTAGAAAAAATCCGTTGTTACAATTTAACCCGTGTTTGGGGCTACCGGAAAAAGTAGTAACACCAAGAAACCGCATTAATACTTCTGAAAATTTTTTTTTTGAAATGTCGCCTAAGTAATTCTTTTCATAAATCAACGTAAACTATAATTAATACACATAAAATACATATAGTCATGTCGTAAAAGTTCTCATCATAAATCGAAGTAAACTGCAATTAATACAAATAGTAGATATAATGTCTCCTGTTACACAATTTACATGTTCCCACATTTTACCATACTATATTATAATATAAAATTATAAATATAATATAAAAATATAAATATAAAATATAAAAATAAATATGAAATATAAAAATATAAAATATAAATTTCAGCCAATCATCTTCACTTGAATCTGTATCAACTCTTGAATGTTACAACTAGCCCCAAAGTTTTGTTTTAACTAACAGCGTATTTTTTAAATTATTCCAGATAACTATTTAAATAATTTAGCAATCACAAAAATTGTTACACATTATCAAATATCGATAAATTTGAATCAAATTAAGATATATAAAATTTAGAATTAACCGATAACAATAACGCAAACTGAAATTCCATGGATAATATAATTGTATATTTGAAGTCAAAAATGACGCACCTGCACAGTTCTGTATGTAGCGTAGCTATGACAATAATATGCAGAAGAACGGTTTACAGGTCCAATCGAGACAAAAAATATTTTAATATCGTTAAAGATTCTATTGAAAAAAAATCTGTTACAGATAGCCCCTAGTTCCCCTATTATATATACATATATATATATATATATACATATATATATATATATATATATATATATATATATATGTATGTATATTCATCCTTTATCAACTTCGTCTTTGATAATTATATTTTTTTCTTTTCTATATTTGTCTTCCTAGTTAGGTATGCATAGTGTTTACCTTTATAAGAAATAAGTTGTTTTTCTTATATTAGGTGTCTATTGAGTTTAGTATAATTAATTTAGTATAGTTGAATGATGACACTATCTTAATGTTGAAACGTGATTTCTTTTTCATGATTTTAAAATTTAGAGTCATTTTTCTTTATTTTAATTATATTTCTGATTTTTTTTAAATCTTGGCATTAATTTTTGAAATTGTATTTTAATTTTGAAAAATACATATAACTCTAAATTTTTATCGTCTTACCACAAACCCTTATTTTATGACTTGTGAACGTTTTTTTATTGAATTTTGAATAAGATTTGTTTCAACTTATTTGCTCTCCAATGTTGCATATTGCATTTTTTGAATTTTTTCGGCATTTTTGAAATATTTCAAAACACTTGAAAATTTAAGATTTAAATTTTTAGTTGAAACTAGATACATATTAAACAAAAATACACAGTGCCAATTGTGTACTAAAATTATAAGATTATGAGGTAAAGAAATGTAGAGATATGATTTGATAATTTTTATTTTAAATTTTTATGGAATTTAAATATCTTGTAAAAACATAAAAATGCATTCAAATACTCTTCATTGAAATTGTAGTTTTGTATTAAGTGTATTCCAAAGTCAATCTGAAAATGATACTCTGAAGTTTGAAAAATGGAAAGAAATAATGGATAGAAAAGGTGGAAATTAAAATAATGAGCTAAGGGTAGAACACTTATAACAACAGTAAATAAAATCATTTGATTCACTATTTAGCTACTCGAAATCAAATTTTTCGTTAGAATCAATAGTAAAATATATTTTTCTATGCTCGTTACATTCTTAATTTCTTTAATAATTCATTGATTTTCTCTTCGTACGTGACATGAAAACGTTATTTTCGTTTCGAGCCATCATAACATCGGAGACAAGTCAATTTAATAATTGAGTTGCAATCACTATCGGTTATTTTTAATCTGCGTGAACTGTATCGTTTCATTCAACATTCATGGAAGCCGGCTGATATCTTTCAAAATCGTATTATCATAAAATATTAGACAACGACATGCCTCGTAATAGATATATTATATGATGAAAGGGTTATTTGGGAATTTTATAAAAATAACTTGACCGAGAATGGTGGCGACTTGGCTATAGGGGTTGGAACGAAATTCATGTAATGTACTTTTTATGTTTGATAAACTACACATGGTATAAGAAATTTTTATTCTTATTGAATGACAATCTATCTACTGTTTTTACTAAATTGATTTTACTAAATTTTTCTAGTAATGGCTATTAGGAAGCCTCCCTTGTTATGATTAAATAGGGTAGGGCGGGGCACAAAAATCCAATTTGACTTCTATCTTCAATTTTAAAGGAATTTTACAAAATAATAGCTACAATATTTAACCAATGCAAAATATAAATTTCATGGGCACATTTTTTACGAATATAACATTGTATATAACCTTGATCTGGTATTTTGTCAGAAATATTCATTAGCAGAATTGGAATAATTACTTGTTTAATCTTTTGTAAATGACTATTTTTAACTTCATTCACTTTTTCATTTACTGTTTTTTATTGTTTATGCATTGTCCTGAGTAAAAGTTTATTTGGTCCTTTTTACCCCACTCACGTGTAAGCTTATATAAATAGCTTATGTAGTGGTTATATAAAATGATCTCTTAAATCTATCATAAATAAATCATATAAATACATCATATAAAACACAAATTATATTAAGGTTTCCTAAACTAAACAACTGTGCTCATAACCATAAACTAACTGAAAAGAAAATACTTTTGTTATAGATTTCCAAACAATACCAATTATCTCCTAATAGCTTAAGATAGATTTATGATACTAGAATATTTTTTAATAGGATTATAAGATTATAAGTTGTATTTATTAATTATTAACATATATCTATAAATAAAAATTAACTAGAAGTATTACTGAACATAGATTTATAGTTGTTTGTTATGTGTTGTTATTTGGTTTAGAGCATAGATTTCCAAACTTGTTTGTGTCGTGGTCCCCTTAGGCTTGACTATGAACCCCTATTTAGTCGATATCAGTTTTTTGATAATAATCTATTTGTACAAACGTTTTGTATTAAACATTTAATGTAAAGATACAAGTAGAAGTTCAGACAATTATTAATTGACTTTGAAATAATAATAAAAATTGATATTAGGAAAGTGTATTGAAATCCACTATCGTGGATCTCCAAAGTTCTTTTTTGCTGATGTGGACGCCTTGAAAGTTTAGACAGTATATTTTCTGAAAGTCAAATTGGACCTTTGTGCCCCGCCCTACCCCGCCTATTACTTTTCTGTTGTAATAATTACTAAGTCAAGAATAAATTAATAATTAATATAATTAAACTAATGATTTTCTTTCCATTCCAGGTTAGCAAGAAACGAAAATGAAGCATAAAAGGCGCACTCATATAACATCCTAGCGTCTACTGAACCACGGCCGACGTATTGGAAAATCAATTATTCAAATAAACAAACAACATCTTTGAGAATTATCTACCCAAACTCAATTATTTTTAATTATTTAAAATAATTAATTATTCTAAAACAACAAGCATCTTCCTCACCGCTTCCAAGAAATTTAATTCTTAATTCAAAATTGACGCCCTGTGAACTTGACAGACTCGCGCACAATTTCTCTTATAAACCTAATGTAATTCACAAGAAATAAAAATTTCAAGGAAATAAATATAACAATAATTAAATTTAATATTACAATAGTACCTAAAAGCATTAATATACATGCGTAAAGAGCTGAAAATCGCTTCTAAACTATAAAACTTACTATATTTTCATTTAGGATAGCTAACAAAAAATTGTAGGTATAATAAAAATAACAATATCATCTTGAACAATCTTTCGAAATATTCAATTATCCAAAGAGTTTAGAACAAATAATAATAAATTAATTTTATTGTTAAACAATTATTTAATCTATATAAAATTTAGTAGTGATATCGATTCGGACGGATATTAATTCGACATCGATTTTAACAAAAGTGATATAATTATCAAACTAAAATCTTTCTAAATACCGAATTAATTATTTCGATATAAAGCATCCAACGATAATATCTTCATTAAACGAGTGGAAATTAAATCAAAATATTTAATATAAATAGTTTTATCTATCTGAATCAATAAAAATGGCATCATCAGCTGCAATGTTATGCGACGTGAGTTCGACCAGTGGTTGTCAAAACCTGGGATATAAGTCCGTACCACAGTTTTATATGGACAAATGCGTTTTTATCACTGGAGCGACAGGATTTATGGGAAAAGTCCTGGTGGAGAAATTGCTGAGGTCGTGTCCAGGAGTAAGGAACATTTTTTTACTGATACGGTCCAAAAAGGGACAGGATGTGCAGTCGAGGTTGAAGGAGCTTTTGGATGCACCGGTAAGTAAATGTTAATTGACCCAATTAAAAAATAATTAGTGGTGCATGGCATCGTGCCTTGAGGCAAATTGCTGGAACTTGCCGTACCAAAAACTAAATTATTAAAAAAAAATAAAATTTTTGAGAAATTTTGATATTTTTGAAAAAAATTGACTTTTTTGAAAAATTTGATTTTTTTATATTTTGTTTTGTTTTGAAAATTTTCAACATTTTTTTAAGTAATCGCTTTGCATAGCTGATTTGAAGTCGAAACATCAAAGCGCGTAAGCGCCGCGAAGTCGTCTAACGTGTAAACTTTGCTACGGAACCCATATAAATTTACACAAAATTTGTACTTTTTATTATAATCTTTATAAAATATCTTATAATACGATGTACATATGTTTAATGTTCAGTTTTGACCGCCAAATGGCATTATTTTTTACATTTTTTATTGAATCTGCAAAACTGAATCTACAAAAATTCTAACAGTCGAAATTGTTCATTTCGTCAATACAAGTAAAATATTTTTTGAATTATTTAAATCGGACCGCTCAAAAACTTAAATACCATTTTTGGCACTCTTTGCCTGGTATCTCCGAAAGATTTTGCCTTTGCCAAAAACCATTTAGCACGTCTCCTTATCAGTAGGAATCGAATGTTTTTTTGAATTATCTAAATTGGTTAATCCGAGCTTGCGAAATCGTCGATGAAAATTTGTATCTGCACACACACACATACATCAATTTTTTCTAAGATGTGCCAAAATGTTCAGAAGCCTTTAAAACGTGAATTTATATAAAAAATTTAATTTTTGATTCTTTGCGATCACTATAACTTACCCTACGGGAAGTTAAAAAAATATTTTATGTTTGCTACAGCATTAATAGAATTATCTAAAATATTTTTTATTTTATCATAATTTGTAATGCAATAAGCTTATGAGGTTGATAGGCTAACATAATTTTTGGGCAATAAAAAATTGATTACTACAAAATATATGTATTTTTATCAGTTCCAATAGAAACAATTGCCTTAGTATTTTTCCAGAATGTTCAAGCGTAGGATAATGCAATTTTTGAGTAATAAATTTTAATATTTATTTATAACAAGTGCAAAGTAATATGTTGTTTTATCAGTGCAAGTAAAAATTATTTCTTATGTAATATTCCAGAATATTCAATAGCGAATTATTAAATATGTAATATTTTTCATAATTAAAAAAAATCACTTGGTTAACTTATAGTATTGGAGAATTTTGTAATATTTTCCTATTTGTGAAAATTGAAATAGAATTGTAAAATTTGTAATGCAAAATCAATTTCAACGTTAATGCAATTTTTGGTTTATTAATTTTAATAGTTATTACAAACAAATGCAAATAATATGTTGTTTTATCAGTGCAAGTGGAAAATATTGCCAGCATAAATTTCCAGAACATTCAATCGACTCAAGAAAAATTATTTTTAACGTTGGATAGGTTAATGCAAAGTTTAGATAATAAATTTTAATATTTATTACAAACAACAGCAAATAATATGTTGTTTTATCAGTGCTAGTATAAATTACTGCCTGCATAAAATTCCAGAACATTCAATCGACTCAAGAAAAATTATTTTTAATGTTGGATAGGTTAATGCAATTTTTAGGTAATAAATTTTAATATTTACTAGAAATAATTGCAAAAAATATATTGTTTTATCAGTTCAAATATAAATAACAGCCTGCATTAATTTCCAGAACATTCAATCGACTTACTTGTTAGGCAAAAATAATTTTTAACGTTGTATGGTATATTGGAGATACCTACAATATTTTATTAGGCGAATAGATGTTAAATATTGTTTAACAAGTATAATTTTTTATTGAGGCGTTGAATATAAGATAAATATATTACTAGTGTATTGACTTACTAGGTGTTGCAGTATGATGCATTGTTTACTTTTTTATGTAATTCTCGACTTACAGCATTTAGCCAATTACTTTATGCCAAATCTATTTTATATATTTATTTTTTAGTTATCAATTTTCACTTACCTTTTTTTACTTCCCTTAGAGTAAGTTAGTGCAATTCTCAAAAAATCGAATTTGAAAATGTTTACATTTCTTAACGTTTTGCAGGTTTCTGAACATTTTGGCATTCCTGACAAAAAATGAAAAAAAAAACGCAGTTTTTTAAGAGAATTATAAGTATCCGATTTGAATGATTCAAGATAATTTCTGCTTTTGTTGACGAAACGATTGCTTTTAGGATTTTTTTTTAATTTAAAAAAAAAATTTTTTGAATATCAAAAATTCAAATTTAATTTTTTTTCTAGCTAAAGATCTAAAGCTTACTTATATATTTAACATAAATAATTTTAACTTTGCAATTCAGTTTATATAATTCTTATAAATATTAGACAATGTCCTACATTTTAAATTCGATTGATTAAGTTTTGTTTATTTACTTTTCTGTAATCATATATAAGTTACAGTATTTATAATAATCTGTTTGAAAACATTTAATATTCCTCGAATATTTTATTACGATACGGGGCACGACGCCACTAGTTATTTTTATTAATTCAATTTATATAATATACTATTCAATATTCTATCTAGTATGCTGGAACGTTTTTATTCTGTAAATTTTTTATAAATAGTAGGTACCTACTAGGATTTGAAACCAATGCTTTCATGGTAGAGCTGTCGAAATTGGGTGATAGTATTGTCTTTTAACTTTCAAGTGCAACCAGAGCTTTGGTGAAAATAGAACATTTTTTAAATGAGGGCCTCTCAAAGTCGACCGATTTTAAAAATTTCAAATTTAACAATTATATATATATATATATATATATATATATTTTATATATGATCAAGTTATATTATTAGGGTGCCCCGAATATGGAATGTATTCAAGACTCTATCAGACTAAAAAATTAATCAAAGTTTCCGAACCCCCAAATATAATCAATTATAGATATTGGCCATAACGAGACATAACTTATCAATGTCAATAACATTGTCGTATATTCACTTATATTTACTTATTTTATTCGAGCACGAAATACTCGTAAAACGATAGAAATAGAAAACGTGGTTTAGTTCTATTTTACGATTTTCATATGCAATGAAATATTACGGTATTGTTATTGCCCCTAGTATTGCCAGCAAATTGTAAAACAGATGTAAAACGATTACGATATAGATTTTTATTTATGAAGTCTTGTTTGGTTATTTGCTGCTAAACATCAACTACATAGGTCGATAAATATTAAAAATACATTTTATTACTCTTGAATATGTTCTAGAACAAAAAAGTTTAAATCAATTTTTTTATATTATACTCAATTTTATTACGAATTATTTTATAACTAAATTAGTTACATAATTAGAATGAGCCAGAATAAAAATAGACCAAAAAATTCTATAAGTCCCCATAGGGATGATATTATCCATAGATGCGTGTTGGCAGTCGAAAATGACCTTAAAATAAAACCCATGTGCGACATCCATTTATTTTAGGCTAATTTAACCCAATGTCACATAAAATAATTTAATATATGAACTACATTATTATTTTACCTTTAAGATCGTTATTTATCTTTATTAAAATCCTTTGATATATGCTTTGAAGCAAGTTACATGAACTCCCCGATACGTGTAAATGATCCACTTAATCAATAAAAAATAAATTAATTTATGAGTGATTAAAAGTACTCCGAGTGGATTTATTACACATAATTGAAAACGAACGAACACGTTAACTCGGAGTATTTTCTAAATGCAAATTTTCAAAAACCAATAATTTTTATAATTAAACCAGTTTGCATAGGACTTTAATGGTTTAGTATGTTCATTAAGACCAAGTGCTCTATCGCTATACCAAGTAAATCGTCTCATTCTACTACTTATTTTTTCAAACTTTGATGAATTTTCAAAATTAAACTACTCGTCGTAAGGCCGTAATATTTCAGTAAGTTCTATAAGACCATGATATATATCGTCAAAAAAAGTTCCACATACATACTTTTTCCAAATTTGGTCTCATTCGATTCAGAATGGCTTGAAACGTCGAGAAAACAAAATTAGCGAATTGCATTTTTTTATGAAATCATAAACTTCTGGAAGGTAATAATATATACAGAGTGCTCCAAAACTTTAACGTAATAGATTTGACCTTAACTGTTCTGGAAAAATTTTTAAAATAAAATTTCAGGTTGTTTGGAAAATATGAGCTTTCCAGTGCAGCCTAAAACTTCGGTGGAATTATGATCATATTTCGGTTGTTGGTGTTAATTTTTAAAAATTTGTTCATTTAAACTTTGAACCATAACTGTGAATAACATTTCTAAAACAACAGTAAAAAAATATAATAATACATTAGCCCCAAGTTTTCAAGAATTGATACTTTTTGTTAAACTATGAATTTATAATTTTCAAAATCGGTTGAGTTCGAAAGGCCTTTTTTTGAAAAAAAATTTAGGTACTAAAGTGTGTTGGCAAGTTTTATCGAAAGTTGATGCATTAATCAGGATTTTAAAATGGTACGATACTTGATAATTGTATTATTGAAAAAATAAAAATCAAACACGTAGGTTGCACTTAAAAGCTCATAATTTCTAAACATGAGATAACTTTTTTCTAATATTTCTCAGGACAATTAAGGTTCTGACCAATACTATCACCTCAACGGGACAACCAGTATATATTATTTTTTATATATTTTTAGTATTGTATTAAATATGCAGAAGTTAATTTCTTATTACAATGTGAATATATCTAATAATATATTTTAATAAAATAATATTAAATAATGAATATTTAATAAATAGTATTTTGAACTATTTTTATGTAATTTCAAAAAATTTATATTGTTGCTAAAATTTACTTTATAATATTCATATGAAAATTCCAAACAGCTTAGGTTTAGGAATTTTTAGCAAGAGACTAAACTAATATATAATTTCCGCATGCTATTTTTTGCCAAATGAGAATTTGATAGTTATTATTAAACATAGTTTGCGTTTGTAATACAGCATTTTCATTATTTTTCATTTCATCGAAAGTTTTTCAAAACAAACTAAAAAGTAGGAAACATTATGCGCAGAATAAGAAAGCGCCGCCTACGCGCCTTAGGAAATCCTGATCGTTCGGGAAAAATTAGCTTTAACTGAAGTTTATTTTCCTCAATATATTGTTATTAATACTTAATGAGCGTAGGTTTACCCATTCGCAGTATATTGATAAATAATAAGTGTAGGTTGACCTTTGTCCGATTTTATATTAAATAAGAAATCTTTAGCTCCACGGTCACAAATATTTATCTTTAAAGAGTTGTTGAAAAATATTTAAAATGAAACATTTTTCTAGAAGACGTATCATTTTTCATTATATAGAATCTTGCAATTCAATACCAATTACCTTTTCTCATTACATCTGTATCAATATCATATTTATAAACTAACGTTATATTGTATATTTATTGCTTGTTATTGCTTGCTGCTCTAGATTATTTATTGCTTTTTTCATAAATTATATATAAAATCTAGAAACATCTCTTAAATCATATTAATAACATAACAAAACATAACATGGGTAAAATATCATATGTTTCTTAGAATTTAATAACTTAGCGACAAGTGAATCAAAATTTTGAGAATAACATTGTATTAAGCTTATTTTGATCATAAATAAAAAATTACAACAAAAATTTGATATATTTACTTAGGAAAAAGAACCAAGAAAATTTGGTTGGAGAGCGGACTATCTTAAAGTTAATATTAGGAGCTAAAACATTCATAGAATTTTTTTTAATCAATTTAGAAGCATTTGAGCCCCTAAGAGCAAATAAATTCTAAAATATCCATATTAATTTCAGACCTGGACGTCGAGCCAAAACGGGGTGATCAGTATTGACATTATCGTATTGTTTTTGGTTTTCATTTTTTTACTCAAAATTATTCACAATAATAAAATTATCAAGTATTTTACCTTTTTATTAAACTCGCTAACACACTTAAGTAAATTTTTTAAAGAGAGCCTCTTAAAATCGACCGGTTTTAAAAATATTAAACTCATAGTTCAACAAAATGATCCATTTCTTAAAAACTTGGGGTAATTGAGTTATTAATATTTACTGTCGTTTTATAAATGTTTTTCACGGTTACGTTTACTAACAATAAGTTTAAATGAACAACATTATTAAAAATTCCATCAAAGCTCCTTACTTGTACTTAAAAGCTCATAATTTCCAAACAACGTGAGTTTTTTTTCTAATTTTTTCACAACAGATAAAGTTCATACTAACACCCCGTTTCGGTTTGACGTCCAGATCTGGGACACCCTGCATTTATTAGTTATAGTTAAAAAATTACCCAATATTTTTTTTAATTTGTATTAATATATTGTATTATTTTATTTCAGTTATTTGACAAAATTCGTCGGGAACGACCGGCTGATTTACAAAAAATTGTGCCAATCATTGGAGATGTTACAGAACCCGAATTGGGCATTGGAACTGCAGACCAAGCTCTACTATGTAGACAGGTAAATTATTTAATTAACAAGAATTAAAAAATAACTAAGTTTGATATGATATTTAGAAATAGATAATTGAATTTGCAATTTGTTAATACTAATTAGTAAGAATTAATATTGAAATCTAAGTGTGTTTTAATTAAACAGTTTCCGTTCATTAAAACTATGTGCTTCTATTTAGGTTCTACAGCTAATTTTAAGATACATGATATAAATGGGTTTAAATGACCGCGGGTAAAAAGGTCCACCTACAAAAACGAGCAAAGTATAAAATATTTTGATGATACTATTTTAAAGTAGAAAGTAAAAGATATGTAACCAGCTAACCAACCTCAATTCTTACGACGTCGCTATCAGGAGATAAACGTAAATGTTTTTATATTTATACTTGAAGTATTTTCATACATAAGAAGTACTTTTTTTGTTGGGAGCTTATTTTGGCTTTGAGCTTTTAGTTCAAGATACCTGAATATAATTTTAAAGTGTATATTTTTAATTTTTTTTTGTAAAAAGTGTTGTAACCAACTAAGAACTAGCTAAAGCTTTATATAAGTAAAGGTGTAAACACCAAGAAATACTAAATGAATCTAAAAAAAGTATTTCAAAAGAGATAAATCAAATTAATAGTTATTCGACCCCTGCTGTGATTTTTTTTTCAAAATGCCAGATTAAGTTTATATACAATCAAGTCCTTGTACAAAATACTCTCATACAATTTTTATTTCACATAATAAAATGTAGGTAATGGTAAATGTTGTAGCTATTATTTCGTAAAATTGCTTTAAAATTAAAAAAACACGTTGGATCTGTTTGTCCTCTGGCTATTCCTTCTTACCTCGCTCAGGGGGCAGATGACAAGTTAGAAAAATAGTAAAAAAAATTTTTTTCAATTAGCACTATTAGCAACTAAGAAATTTACTGAACACAGTTCGATAGTTATTTATTTGATAAATGTCATGTGTATAGTTCATTTAATTTAGTTAGACAGTATATAATTATTGAAAGTCAAATTGGATCTATAAGCCTGTAACCCTACAACCCTATAACAAATTGATCTAGAGTATATCTCATTTAAATTTTCCAGAAAGTAGGTACTTGTATTGTAACTTGTAATTTATTTTCAATTTAAATGTATGAACCAATTAGCATACAGAAATTAATCGGGATGAACCTAACGAATTTTCTGCCAAATGAAATTTGAATTTTTCCATGCTCACAATCAGTTTTTGATTGTTATATATATATATATATATATATATATATATATATATATACTATAAGTAAAATAATACGGTATCGAAATATATAAACTTATTTTAGAACTTCTGAAATGTTTGAGTATTATTTGAAAAAACGTGGACAAAAGTTTCATCTAGTAACTACTGATTTAGAGAAAAAAAAACTTTCGATCATATAATAAATTAACTCTTGATATTTTGAAATCTATTCAAGCATTTTGGATGAAATCCAGTATTTGCACATACATACTTTCTTTAGAGGGTTCAAAATATTGAAAAAAAACATAATGAAATATTTTTGATTTAGATTTAGTAACCAATTTCTGGGCAAAATCGAAACAATTCGTTGGCAAGAAGTTTCTTTGACTTGTGACTTAAACTTGTGCTTCACCACAATTTTCTGAAACTTTCTCTACTATTTTTGAGGCTCCATCCTAGCAAAAATCGAATGTTTTTTGAATAATTCAAATAGGTTTTCCCGTTCTATTGAAAACGTGACTGAAAAATATATCAGAACAAAGCAAACTCTTTTCTAGATATGCCGAAATGATCATAGATTCTAGAAACGTAACCATATCAAAAAGTTTTTGTTATCTGCGATTTCAATTACGGGAAGGTGAAAAAGTTATATTTACTTATGGAATTATTTTGTAATAAAAGTGCTGGTATAACAGTAATTGCAGTGTATGAATGAATTATTGGTCAACAGTAAAGGTATTATTCTAATTGCAGGTTCACGTAGTGTTCCATTCGGCGGCAACTGTCAAGTTTGATGAAAAGCTGAAATTGAGCGTGGCAATCAATATGTTGGGAACGAAACGATTAGTGGAACTGTGTCACAGGATGACATCCTTAGAGGTAAGTTAGTTTATATACTATTTTATAATTAAATTTATTTGAGAATTTTGCAAAATTTATTTTATTTCACAAATATATGGAAATTTTGAATTGAACTGATCCTGAGTAAACTGCATTAGCAGAAATCATGTCATTTTTGGGGTTTTATTTCTTTTAGTCAAGAATTTTCAATGATAAAATTATCAAGTATTTGATTATTTTATTAAATTTATAATATATGCGATATATGATTAAATGCGCCAATTATTGATGAAACTTGTCAGCACACTTTAATATTTTTTTTTTAAAGGAGGGCCACCCAAAATCGATTAATTTTAAAATTTTTGATCCATAGTTCAACAAAATGTTTTAATTTTTGAAAACTTTGGAAAATTGTGGTATGTTTTTCACTGTGGTCCTTGAAATGTTATTCATAGTTACGGTTCAATAACAGAACTAATGGTGTATGGCATCGTGCTTTAGGGCAAATTACTGAAACTTCCCGTACCGTAACGAAATATTCGAAAAATATTAAATGTTTTCAAATAGATTATTATAAATACTGTAACATTGTCTAATATTTATAAGAATTATATAAACTGAATTGCAAAGTTAAAATTATTTATTTGAAGTATATAAATGAGCTCTATGGCCTAAGTCAGAATTAAAATTAAAATCTGAATTATCTTCGATATATAAAAAAAATTTTTTAGAAGAAACATATTTTGAAATAATTTTTTTTGCTAAAGCAATTGTTTTGTCAACACAAGCAGAAAGTTATTTGAATCATTTGAATTAGATTCTTAGTTCTTTCAAAAACTGTCATTTTTTGTACATTTAGCTCCGTATCTTGGAAATGGCTGGACCTGCCTTTGCCAAAAACTAATCACCTCTTCTCCCTATCATTCTAAATTGATTGTTTTTTGGATCATTCAAATCGAATACTCCGTTCTCTCAAAAACTTGATTTCAATTTTCTGCACTCTTTGCTCCGTATGTCCGTAACGGCTGGACCAGCCTTTGTCAAAAACTAATTAGCACTTTCCCTATCAATAAGAATCGAATGTATTTTGAACCATTCAAATCGGTTGATCCATGCGCCCGAAAACGTGGACAAAAAATTACACACACACATCCATTTTTTCTGAGGTATGCCAACATGTTTAGAAACTTCTAAAACGTGAAAATATGCAAAAACTTTCATTTTCGATTTTCTACCCATTACTATAACTTATCCTACGAGAAGTTAAAAATGGTCATAACCTCGAAAAGCTCTCAAAATACACATAAAAGGTTACACATAAAAGCTCATAATATTCAAAAATATTTTTCATTCGAAATTTTTGACGTCAAAGTTTGGGACACTCTTTATCTTTAAATATAATATATATATGTGATCCACAAAATTTTCTAAAAAAATAACGATTTATGTCTACTCGATGAAATCAATGACCGCACTAAAAGTGCAATGATTTATTTATATTATATTATAGCTTTTGTAAAACTTGAAATTTGAACTCTAACATTCATAGTTAAAACTTAAAAATTCAGAGAAATTAAATAATATTATGTGGATGAAAAACATATTTCATAACAATTTTATAATTTTCAATTTACTATTTACTTTGCTGGGTTTACTTTTAAAGTATTAATAAATCATAAAATTAATGAAGTTGCTGAAAATGCTAATTATATTTTACTCTAAATTTGGTACAATTTGCACAAAGACAGTTTAAATGAAAATTTATCCAGACATGAATAATCGACATTTATCTATAATGCAATGAAATATATATATATATATATATATATATATATATATATATATATATATGAAGATTGTCAATTTCCAAACTTTTTGTTTAAAAGTAGTCTGGAGAAAATATGAGTTGATCCGTGCTTTTATAATATTTAGGCGTTAAACTTTGATATTTGCTTAATGTATTTGGAAATTCAAACATATTGTCGTTTACATATTATTCAAATGAATAATCAATAATAATAACAATACAATGATAATAATTATTATTATATCTTTATTGAATTATATACGTATATTATATTCTGTATATATTTTTACTAATGAATCGATCTAAACGTATTTCAAAACTCCAAAAAATTCTTCAGACCCCAATGACCCCCTGTATGATAACTATGCATTGCTTAATGTACAATTGCAAATCAGAACCTGAATATTCTAGTATTTGGAGAGTCTTCTACATCAATTTTGGTAAACGTTGTGCAAAATTAATGCAAATATAGATACAACCAATATTTGAAGAATTCATAAAGGCAAATATTATAGTTTTTACTTTCTATTTTGTATTTGGTGAGTGAGGTAATTGAAAAAAATTGAGTATCGCATCGTAAAAAGGTGCATAATAAATTTCTTACGTAATAACGTGACGATATTGATTTTTAATTTGCTACTGTTATAGTATTTATTAATTTACTAATAAATATTGAATTTTTTTAAATGGCGATCTTTCGCAACCGTAATAATTTATTCTTATTGTTAGATAAATTATTCTTCTAAGAAAATATTGCTGTGATAGTATCAGAAGTAAAAAGTTCATTTTGTTATTAAAGTTTTATTATAAATTGGAGAGAAATTGGAGAAAGAAGTGTTTTTTTAGTTTTATTTTTAAAAATTTTGTCAACCCATTTAAGCACATTTGTTTAGAAAAAAAAAGATATTCCCTTATTGTGCTTATTCCTCATAAATAAATTATAATATCATATATTTATCATTTCTATTTATCACGAGTATTTATAAAATTGTTATAACATTGTTAGAAAAATTAAGAAGAGATATTTTTTTAAAAAACGGGGGAACGCGGTTCGAAAAGTTTGGAAACCATTGATTTAGATATTTTTGAGAATACATTAACAAAAAATGTGTCATTATTGCGGGGCTTGAAGGTCCGCGGGTAAAAAGATCCACCACTGATATCTTAAAAACAAGTAAGGGGGCGTCCATTAATCACGTGAGGTTTTTAGGGAGAGGGGCTCTGACAAAAAATTACGAAGCATCACGTGGGGGAAGGGGGGGGTGTAGTAAGATATCACGTGTATTTATTTTTTAACTTATTTTTTCAAAAAAATCAAACATTTTCAAAAATTCAAAAATTTTACAGTTTTATCACGTAACTAAAAATACACGTGATGTTGGGTGGGGAAGAGGGGGGTAATTTGGAATATCACAATGTATCATTTTTTCCTCTACTTTCAAATATTTTTGTCAAAAAATTCTTAATTTTTGGGGGTCGACACGTGATTAATGGACCCCCTAAAATTAAGAAAGTAGAGGAAAAAATATGTATAACCAGCCATCACCTTGATAATCCATAACAAAATGAAATAAAAATTCATTACATAAACCATAAAAAGGTAATCACTTTTGTTCTTGGTTCATTTGGTTTTATGAGCACTGTTGTTTAGTTTACGAAACCTTAACATAATCTTTAGCTGAGCTTTTATTTAAATAACTTATGAAATGTATGGTTATTTCTAAGTTGGATTCAACCGTTTCTTTTATATAACCTCTATAAGGACCAAGTGACAAATTTTTGAAAAACGGAAGAAAAACACATTTTTATAATTATGAATTAGTTGGGAATTTTACTGAAGATAGTCAGATAGTTGTTTATTTGATATGTGTCATTCGTTGTGATATAATTGGTTTGGTTTTCTTTCACAATATAATTGCTCAAAGTCAAATTTGACCTTTGTGCTCCACCCTACCCTATTGACGAAGATCACTGTAGGGTGATAAAACACTAAGGCAGCTAAAAAATATTTTATTTAAATTTATGTACGTTTATAGTTTTGTTTTAATATTTAATTACTGTTTGATTATTTTCTTCGCAGGCTTTAATACACGTTTCGACCGCTTACTGCAATTGTGACCGCGGAGAAGTCGACGAAATAATCTACCCACCCCCATATGATCCTGACAGGATAATAGAAATGGTCGAGTGGATGCCCGAGGAAATGATCGATGACTATCTGACAAGCAAATTGATAGGAAAAAGACCAAATACTTATACATTTACAAAAGCTTTGGCCGAACACATGCTGCTGACCACGGCCAAAGGACTGCCCGTGGCCATTGTACGACCGAGCATTGGTAAGAAAGTTTGAGAACATGTCATATTGCTATGTATAATGTATTTCCAAATCGTTGCACCAATTTACCATAAATTGTAATAATAAATTAATCAAATAGAGATAGGTCAACTATTGTGTTGGCATCCAAAAAGCGACGTAGTTAACTCAAAATCAAATAAAAAACGTTGATGATATAAAACTAGTAGTGCATGGCATCGTGCCTTAAGGCAAATTGCTAGAATTACCTGTACCGAAAGCTAAATTTAAAAAAAATACTTGGCAAAACTTTGAAAAAATTTGAGACTTTGGCAAATTAGATTTTTTTATATTTTATTTTGTATTTGAACATTTTTTTAAGCAATCGCGCTGCATGGCTAATTTTCGAAATATCAAAGCGCGTAAGCGCGGCGTATTCGTCTAATGTGTAAACATTACAGAACCCATATAAATGTACACAAAATTTGTGCTTATTATTCTAATCTCTATAAAATATCTAAAAAAAATATGTGTATATGACTAATGATCATTTTTGACCGCCAAATGGCATTTTCTTTCACTTTTTTTATTGGATCTCCGGAAACGCTGGACCTGCCTTTACAAAAATTTCGCCAGTTGTTTATTTCGTCAATACAAGTGAAACGTTTTATGAACATAGGACGCTCCGTTATCTCAAAAACTGAAATATAATTTTTGGCACTTTTTGGCTCGTATCTCCAAAACGACTAGATTTGCCTTTGTCAGCACGTCTAGTTGAATCGAATGTTTTTTGAATTATTCAAAACGGTTGATCCGTATTTGCGAAATCGTCGACGAAAATTTGTATCCGCACACACACACATTCAGCCATTTTTTCTAAGGCATGCCAAAATGTATAGAAACCCCTGAAACGTGCAGATAAATAAAAATTTTCATTTTCGATTTTTTTGCGATTACTATAATTTACCCTACGAGAAGTTAAAAATAAACAAAAAAATTAGTATGTTTTATACATAATATTGCATATTAATTTGTAGTCTGAAAACATCAGCCCTATATATGAAATAATTTTTTTTTAAAAGTTAGGGGGTGGAGGCAACAATTTTTTGGAACAAGGTTGTTCCGAAGTCTCAACAAAATTCCAAATTTTCACTGAAATAATTAGCTGAGGGTAAATCCTATATGTCTTCAATATGAATCTCACGCGTATTTTAAAAATGTGATTTTTTGACAGATCTCAATATTTAAAATTATTCAAAATGTTTTATTTTCATTAATTTTGTAAAAAGAGAACGGTTGGGCGCATCAAATATACAATTGACGCACCGTCCAAAATTATGTTTTCTCATTATGTTAAGTTCAGACTTTAATATCTTGATTAAAAATGTTTCTTATAAATGCAAATTATATTAATAGTATAATTAAAATAGTTTATAACCAAAATACACAAAAAATGTTAAGATTAACTGAAAAAAAAATATCGACGGTTAATAGGGCCCTTACGATACGTTTTTTGGAATTGTAACTTTGGTAACTCTGCCGTTATACATGAGTTCTCTATAAATATATTTCCAAAAAAACATGTTTGTCATCAAATATTGCGCGTTCATCGCAATTATATGTAAAATCTGTCACTGCTATGCAAATAATGGCTTAGAGAATTCTTCTTTCAAATTGCTAAAATATATTCAAACGTTTTGATGCTTTATAATGAGTTTTCTACTTTTTACGCAGTTTCGGGGGATTTATTTCACTTTCCATTTTCGAATATGTTTGATTGCATTTGAATAATATCTTGATTGTGGAAAACGAAAAATGAATAAATAAATGATGTAGATAAAATAAATTTATATACTATTATTAATTTAATTACTGATAAAATTTGTAATTGACATAAAAACAGCACGGAATTTTAATTGCCTTTTGTTGTAGTATTTTCCAATGTTTCAAATTTTATCTATTTTATTTTAAATCTTTATGTGTCATATTTTAAATATTATTACAAATAGCATTTTTTTTATTTTGCTAATAATTTCTTAGACCTAAAAATATTTTGTTATTAGACTAAAGACTAAAAATATGAATAAATAAAAAAGTTGTAGTCCTATATTTAAAATAGTTGTTATTTATGTGTGCAAAGTTTCTTCTGTGTAAGCACGGACTTTTTAAGTTTTCGAATAAAATTTGAAAGTTTTACTCGAATAGTTGAAATGTTTGTTTTGAGTGTATCTCGGAAGAATGTGTAAATGGAAAAAATATGCGTTTTATTAAATTTCATATAAAAATCTTATTGCTTGATATGGCTATATAAAATACTAAATTTTGTATATAGATACACTATTTTACAAAAGTTTCAATAAATTTGTTATGAATATACTTGGTTTCAAACTTGTAAATCTAAATTGCTAAAGAAAACTATTAGTTTCTATCTATCATTTTTCTTTTAGTGTTATCAAGTAAAAATGAGCCCATGTCGGGTTGGGTAGATAATTGGAACGGTCCGACTGGAATTATTTCGGCAGTTGGAAAAGGTTTCTTCAGGACAATAATATGCCACCATGACAAAGTTGCCGATTTGGTGCCAGTAGATACAGTTATTAATCTTTTAGTGGTCTCGGCCTGGAAAACAGCTCAAGAAAGGTAAAATAGTCATATTTTACTTTACATATTTTCTTCGGTAATTTCTAAAGTAGATGGTGCAATACTCGCTGTCAGTTGCCACAAAATATTGAATAAAACAAAAATATCAAATTTTGAAACTTTTACTTTAATAATTATGAGCTCTGATAGAATTCCAAGAATTTTAAGTTTTTTGATATTCCTTTTGCAAAAAAAGCTTTAACAAAATTAACAAAATTCCTTAAATTTCGAGATTACTTCTGCAAAGAAATGGTTTTGGTTTTGCCTTTTATGTTGCTTCTAAAAATTACATTTGTATACAAATCTGATGCATTAAAGAAAATTTCTAAGAAAAAAATTGGAAATTGCGCAAACATAACACTTTTTTTACAATATATCTGGTATTAAACTATTATGGTATTAATTTAATATGTAGAAGTTTATTTGATTGATTTATTTTAGAAGTATTTTGAAAGTAATTAATTTTTAACAGGCGTCTTAGAACACGTGTGCAAAATAAACTATTTAATAATAACTGAGCTATTGCTAGATATCAACAGTTTTGTTTTTGCAAATTGATAAATAGTTTTGTGGGCCACTTTATAAACTAGTGATCCACAAATTAAAATTGCCGCGGGCGTCAATAGAGAAGGTACTCATATCGAATTCCAATGCTTTCTATAAAAAGCTGATTAAGTATTAAATGAATATGGTATGTTAATATAATGTAGAAAATATACATAATAAAGTGTGTTAAATATAGTAGAAATCAAATAAAAAATCTTTCCCATAGAAAATGGAATATAAAATGGAACATAGGGTGTGCCATAATTTAATTAATTGAAAAATATAGACAAGAAAAAAGTAATAAAACCTTTCATTAAATAGGCTAAAATTCTTCCTAAAATTCTTCCCTAAATTTTTACATTAACATCTATTTTGTGCAAGTTTTTTTTAGTTTATAAGTTTATATTTCTGGAATGGTCTTTGTGATAAATTGTGTGTTTCGTTCTATTACAACTACTTTTGATGACAAGTGTATAATCATTAATTAGTTATTAATTTTTTTATTATTTATTTAAACTTACTGCTAACACACTCTGGAAAATGAATTACCTACTAAGCAACTGAACTTAGCCAAGCTTAAGTAAAAACTATATATAAACTACTCCACACTATTCCTGATCTAAATGTTGTTGGATTGTTATTTTCCTCAATTTGTTTGTTTTCCTCAAATGATTTTTTTAACTAATTTTTATCCTTTTTACAGAAAAGACACAGTAACAGTATACAACTGTTGTACAGGTCAACAGAAACCCATCACGTGGAAAGATTTTGTAGAAATATGCATCGACAACATGCGAAAGCATCCCTTAGGTAAAATTTTCATTACTATTTAATATATATAAATAACAAAACATTGTTTTGACCATTTATTATTGCGCAACTTTTCTTGACTTTGAGTATATTTTTAAAATTGTTTGTCCGAATAAAATTAAGAAAACAAACATTCAATTATTTCGTCTTCATATGACTGATATAAAAATACGATAACCATCTTTTCCAAGAGCATGCAAAATTTCGTCAAATATTGTTTAAATATTATGATCAATGACAGAACAAATATTTGTTTAATTCAGCCCAATTAATTAAATATTTGTACAGGTGCATAATAATCTTCGATCGAATTTTTTTCATATAAATGTGTAATTTCAGATGGCTGTATCTGGTACCCAACTGGAACTCTGCGTAGTAACAAATTCATGAATCAAACTGTTTCATTTTTGGTTCACTCACTCCCAGCTTTCATCATGGATATTTTTGCAAAAATTGCAGGAAAACGACCAATGTAAGTGAAATTTGAAATTTGAATGGAACTAGTGGTGTATGACATTGTATCTTACGATAAATTGCTATATTTGGTTCAGATATATGGATAAAAATGAAAATACACAACTTGGAAATTGCGAATATCTTTAGAGTGGAACAAACAATATTTATAAAAACAGTAGTAAAATGCAAGAATTTAAAAACTTTTATATACGATACACACAAATATAATCAAAATTGTTTTTTAATAAGTATTGTTTATTTCAAAATATCAAGAGATTTCGAAAAAACACAAGAAAATAGAGTTTATTAAATACTCTCTCAGTTTAATTACAAAAATGTAACTAGATTACCTATAAGAGCCTAACTCAGTGGCTTCCAACCTTTTTCGCAACGCGCCTCTCTCCCCCCGTGCTAATAAAAAAATGTTGCGCTTCCCCTTAATATTTTCAACAATTATCTTTTATAAACACTAAACTGATATTATCAGACTACAAATTATTATGTAAAAATATACATAAAAAGTAATCTTTTTTTCGTTCATTTTTTACATGATTTTATTTTTCGAAAATTGTATTTTGGCGAGCCCCACAGTTTGAAAACCACGAACCTAACTAATTTATGTTATTATTTATTGCACATGTTTATAAACGGTTAATTATCGATTTCAAATATGAAAAGATAAATTATTTCACATGAATCAATATTGACATTACATTGATCGTCATAACATCGATTAATGATTAATGTAGAGACAATCAACGTAATTTCTGACAATGAGATATTTTTAGTCACTGTATTTATTAAAGAAATGTTTACCGTATTCACTAAATTAATTCATCCATTATATTATGAATTTCGTTTATTATTCTGAAATTATTTTCAATGAACGCTTGTATGAACACTGTAATCATTAAGAGTCGTATGCTCTAAAAATTCAAATTAAATCTTTTGTCTCGATGAACGTAGATTTATTTACACTTATCACGCTTTTTTTGCTAATTACAAAGATATGGCTCGGCCGATCGTCCCGCAAATTTGATAAACGCTAGTCATCATCGAGATACTTTTGTCTCATTGTGATCAAATGGCTTTTAAATTTTTGAAATCGGTTCAGCGGTTCAGCCGTTTTTGAGCAAACGTCGACGAAAGGTAAAAAATCGACTTACATACACACATCCATAACTACAAACACACTTTCTCCAAATTTGGTCTTATTCGATTCCGAATGACTTGAAACGTCGATAAAATATAAAATTAGCGGGAAGTTAAAATGAAAATTGAAAATTCAGACGTGCTGGAAATTGTGATTGCACAAGAAAATTTGGAATAAATCAAACACCAACGGTTACTAAATGAAGTCACTAAATATGAATTAAATCAAACAAATATTTTTTGAAAAAAAAAAATACATAGTTGATATAGTAATTAAATAAGTATTCCTAATGGTACAAATCCACAAGCTCAACATAAATTTCTCAAATGAATCGTGAAGTTGACATGAAATGGTGATGTGATTTTTTAAGGAACGTCCATTAATCACGTGTGGCCAAATGTGGAAAGGGGTTTGACAAAAAATCACGAAATATCATGTAAGACTGGAGGAGGTTTAGTAAGATATCACGTGTATTTATCTTTTACCTGAATTAAAAACAAATACAAGATATTTTTTTTTTTCAATTTTTTCTAGATACTAAAATTTCACGTGATGTTTAGTGGGGATGGGGGTTAATTTTAAATATCACAACGTGTCCAAAGGGGAGTCCAAAAAACCCATAGAAATCAATTACGATCAAAATATTTTTTCTCAGCTATTCCTTTCATCAGAATTTATTATTATACTCAATTTCTGAAAGATCGAATAGAAATTAAAGCCAAAAATAACATAAATTCAAACCGTTTTGAAAGTGCTAATATACAAGTTTGGGCGATGATTTTATAAAGAATGACTAACAATTTAATTATACTAGTGTAAAATTTCATAGCTTCAAGTTAGTTTATAATTATATGAATTTTATTCAAGATGCGATATCGTTTTTAACCACACTGTAATACATCATTAGGTTTATATTAACTTTAAACCTATTTTAAGCTAATAATGGATATTGATGTCTTTAGAATTACGAACTTGCCATGCACAATAATATATAAGCTCTGGTCAATTTTCTGTAACGCTATTCTTTGCATATGTAATCGGTAATTGGTATCTGCATATTTTACAAGTTCTATCAGTATTCAAATAAGATCTATTACTGACTTATAAATAACTGTGTAATGTTGCTTACATAAAAATGTTAAAGGCGCTTCTATTTGTCTGTCTACCTGCGCATTTTCCTTTCAATAAATGATTAGATTTGTTTTCTAATTTATTTTAAAGCTATAAAAGTTGATAATTTGATCCCACTTATTAAGTATAATGTATCAATAATTGGATCCTAATTTATAATCGACCGTAGTCTGCAGACTTTTTATATCCAGCAAATGATTTATATTTGATATTTCCAATTATCCTCAAAAGTTATTATAAGTTGTTTATCCAATCCGATACTTATTAACGACGTGAACTATCATCGATAGTGTTTTTGACAGTGTAGTTCGTATATAAATTAAATTACAAAATGTTTATCAACATTATATATCTGTATCTATCATTTTCCAGTATGGGTCGCGTCCAATTAAGGCTGTCCAAAGCCGTCCAATGCTGGAGTACTTCACGACGCAACAGTGGCGCTTCAGTGACACCAATGTTAGGAACCTGAGCGACGCCCTAACGGCGTCCGACAGAGAGGCGTTCCCGTTCGACGTGCGCCAAATCGATTGGCCGCATTACATCGAAAGTTACGTTTGGGAGTCAGAAAATTCTTGTTCAAAGAAACAGAAGAACAAGCTAAGAAAGCACGAGTCCATATGACGAGGTAAATGGAATGATGGATTAAGATGATTAATGTTTTGTTGTCGAAGTCGCTTTGATAATAATAACATACATATGAGGTTAATCACTTTTTCAATTTTTGCCTCTTCTTGCACGTCATTTATTTGGGACGTATTTTTTATATACAATTGGTGATAATTTCACATGTCTACAAAAAAGTTGTCTGAATTGGGTGTACGACATATGCGTTCAATCTATTTTTACCGCTAACACGAATCTAAAGTCAAACTGCAAAAAATGGTAAAAAATGGGACCATACGTCCCGGTTTGGCCGGGACAGTTTCGGATTTTCACCTTGTGTCCCGGGTTTTCTCAAAAGCAATATTTGTCCCGGTTTTATTCTTTTGTCCTGATTGGTCTCGGAATTATTGATTTGTTGCAATTACTTTATAATAATATTACAACTATCCATCCATTATGTCTATCCAACATAATTTTATTCATTGATACAGAATTGCATCCAAAGCAGTTTCTCCTTCGTTAACGATTTTAAAATTTGTTTTTTACTAATAGTATACAATTGTTACACTATGAATATAGAAAGAGTTTAATCTTTGATAGATTTTGTAAATAAAAAGATACAAGCACAATTCCACTTGTAAAAACAGAATGTGCAAGAAGATTATGTTTGCAAAATTGTTTACAATAAATATTTGGTTAAAATTGACTGGTCTATAAATATTTTAATCACAAAAATGTTGACGGAATGCAACAATAAAGTATCTCATAACAAATGAACCTCACTCGGTACCTTGTTCCATAAAAAATCTGTAGTGTAATTAATTTACACTAATTATTGGTGTAGGAGTCTTATTACGGTGATACCTTGAAGTTTACCTCAACTTCAGTTAAAATATTACCATATTTTATGTAAACGATTCTTAAGTTGCCACATGTTCACCTTCTCACAACGTTTCTGGAAGATATTTTTTCAAGTAATTTGAATTGATTGTTGGGCATTCTCATACTCGTTTTTTCGCAAATATCAGATTTTAGAAGTGCTATAAATATTGTATTACTAATCGATTCCTATCATGCCTAGATTATACTGGCTGCACCAGATGTCCAAAGTGGCCATGTTCCTGATGTCCTGGAGATTTCTCTACAACAGATCGAAACATTTCCAAACTTTATGGAATAACGCCATACAGATGCTACTGGGTCTACTCAGACTTATACCACTTATTGTTTGAGAACGACTGCCACTGATTGATCGTCACGAATATCATTACTTTTCACAAACAAAATGTACAACAGACAAAACGTCCCAAAAATGACGCATAGAATAAATTTTATAAAATTCAAATTTATTACAAATTAAAATGTATAGAAGAAAACATCTTGAAGCTTAATTACCAATTGTTTAGATTTGTGGTGATCAAAATTTAATTTTTTCTGGGTCTGTGTCTGTTGACTATAATTTTTGTGAACTGTTCAAATATTTGTTCGGACGAATTTGACGTCAATTTGAGCAAACAATATTGATTGGTCAAAATTAAATTTAATATAAATAATCATAAATTGCTAATTCTTTACCGATGAATAAGTTATCGATTGCTTAGCAATATTTTTGTCGAGATTTAATAAATTAAAGATAATTCCATAATTTATAATAATCAAACACATATTTAGATTTTAAAATATTTTGTAGGAAAAAAACTGTTCTATTGAATTATAGAACTAAGTTTTTTTTTATAAAAAAGGCTCGTCATTTATAAAAGGCGTTTGCAGCTGTTTTTGAAGATCTAAAAAAGCTGCAAAGATTTAATCTAGCGACACAAGTGACAATTTGGAACCTGTTTGAAATTGAACATTTATATTCAAGTTAATTAATATTATTTCATTAATTGAAATATGAGTTTTGCAATTTTTGTACAATAGTTAAATCTACGACGATCTTTAAAGAAGTTCATGACTAACATTTAGTTTTTGAAGCAAATTCATACTTTAAATTGTCAAAAGAATTCAAATACATTTTGATATTGACAGTCATAAAGTCGTTCCAAATTTTATCTATCTTATTATTAAAATCGCCTACAAAGGACTATTTAAAATTAAAGGTAATTGAGTTGATAATTTATTTGAAATCATATCTAAGTTTACTCCAAAAATATTTATTATAAATTGTATTTATATTATTTTATTATTATTTAACATATATTTATTCAATCAAAATTATATAGTATTATTTAAGTATATTTTTTACCTTTATAATTTGTATTTCCATATAATTTGGATGCTTATTATAAATTATTATTTTTATTATATATGTGAATATGTGAAATAGATTTTTTTAATTTATATATTTTTTTATTTAATTTTATATGTATTTTACTTTATGCTTCCATGCAAATTAAATTTGCAATTTTATATAATCCTTAGCGTTCCTGATTAACCAAATTTCCACAAATTTTGCACAAAAACATACCTTATATAAGTTGAAAAACTCTTCAAAAGAGCAAAGAGATATTAATCTGGTAAAAACAATGACATAAAAATTAACATTTTTTTACTCATTTTGTAACTGTTTTTTTTTTGTTATTGGCGTAATGGTTTTCATGATTTAATGATGTGTGAAACTGTAATATATAAATTAAGAATCAAATATATACCAGTTGCCCTAATAATTGAATATTAGGAAAAACTACAATACTCATTGAAGCGCATCTTCATATAAAATTCTAAATTCAAAATTATAAATATTTTTAAAACTACATAGAGTTTAAGCATCATGGAGATCAAATTGCAAAACATTTATATAGCAATAAGTCATGAGTATCTTTAAAGTTATGTAACTATTATTTTAATGATAAAATATTATTTTTTATGAGATTTTCTAAATTAAGCTGAATTAATTAGAACGAAAAAGTTAAAGTGATTGCATTCACACAGGCAATTTATTCAATTTATGCCATATTGTCAGACCCATGCGTTGAAAAGCATATAGTGATAATTTCTATAAAAGTAAAGTTTTCAATGAAGAAAAAAAAAACGGTCGAGTTGTGTCGATTTTATCTTTATCTTTTAGCACTGCTATCGAGCATTGTTATAATATGAAATATAAGGGCCAATTTGCGGTAACATAGCCGACAACATAGCGTTGTTAAGGCAACGCTATCTAATGCTTCTTTCTTGGTACTAAAAACTGTGCAAAATGCTATCTGTTTGCTGAGCGATCAAACGTGCATCTTTGTGATGCGTATTTATAACATACGGTTTTAGGTAAAAAACGCCTGATAGTACTGCAAATAAATGCATTTTTATAGTTTTTAGTACCAATAAAGAAGGATAGATATCGTTGCCATAACAACGCTATGTTATCGTCTATGTTACCGCAGAATTGGTCCACCATAATATCTAAAATAACGTATGGTTAAAAGTGCAAAAATAATCTATGCTCAATTAAAATATGAATCAATAGAAAACATTGATGAAAAAATAGATTCCAAATAAGGTCTTCTCTATGTTTTCGCAACGACATTGATATCGTACTGATATTCAAGTCTTACTTATAATTAGTGACTGCGCAATTATTAAGATAAAAGCTCTAACAAACTAGTTGGTTAAATACCAACTTAGATAATTCTATTCTTGCTCCTTCTAATTATAAAAAATAAAAGTATCGAATCCATGTCGTTCCGACTAATTCAGAAAAGAACTCTCAGTAGATTAGTAAAATTTATATGTACAACATGACTGCCGTCTCCGATTGTAAATAATTTATGCTATCTTTTAAATTTAAGTCTAAGTCAGTAGTAGTTTGTATTGTAGTTTGTAATACGTGTTGCTAAAACAGATTTTGGCAAACTAAAAGAGCTCTTAAACCTTGACTTTTGCTATAAGGCACCGATATTAGTAATAATCATCTTCTTTTGTAAAAATCTCAAAACATAGAATCCATAGTCGAATAAAAACCAAAATGTTTTATACTGATTCAATTTCTTTATGAAGGTGTTGAAAACTTGCTAGATCCGTTTCGAATTTTTATGTCTTCATAAAAATTGGACCAACAAATAAAACAACTTGAACAAAATAGTATCCAGCTCTGATTCTAGTAATTAAGTGCTTAAGTTTCGATTACTCGAATAAATATTGTTATAGATAATAATTATGAACAAATTAGTATGTAAGTAGTGCTTTGTATCTTATTATTACAGCAACGATTATAATCTGTGTGCGAAAACGGGGCTAATAAGTAGCAAATAGTTCAATAACGAAGATGTTATCACATAAAAAATATGAAAAAAAACTATTCCTCATAAAATTAAATTTTTAAGCAGCCGATAGCCATTTACAACTATGTATAAAAAGTAGTTTTGCTAGTGCTAGGTGAAAATACTTCATAATCTAGACAATTAGTACAACGAAACTAATAAAATGGCTTAAATCAAGTCATTTGTACGTAAGGCGTTTCGCCAAATTAGAAAAATAGGCAGCTTTGGTTTAAACGTGTAAATAATTATTATTGATAAATGAATGAATATTATTCGCTATACTCATTTCATGTACCTAACTGTTGTAAATGGGGAAAACTGAATAGGATTAAATTTAGCTTGCCAAATTGAAAAATGAAATTCTAATGAATATTCAATCCACAAAACCGCATAATATGCTATGTAAAAGCCGATTGCATCAAAGAATCAGATTTGCTAAAAAATACTTGCCGTTATGGGAGCCTTTGGCTAAAAGGGCTTTAAATTTCATACTGCCTAGGTTAGTCTAATAGTTTCCTGAGTAAGGAATCTATATGATGTACGTACACGTTTTACTTTTCAAGCGAATCATTGACTTTTCCACCGCCAACATAGTTCAGAACAGGAAAGTGGCCGAATATAGAATTTCTTGTGTTTTAAGACTCAGTGGTTTCCAATCTTTTCGCACCACGCCTCTGTCCACCCCATTTTTAAAATAGTTGCTACACCCTTAATTTTTTTAACAGTCTAATTTTATAAATACTCAACTAAAATATATTTTATTTATTGGTCTACCAATTAATAATCAATATTATGTAAAAATATGCACATAAATAATTATTTTATTAACCCTTTCCACTCGGAAGCCGTCGGTCCGAAGGCAAAATTATTATAAATTTCGGAATTCGCGAGTGGATGGGGTTAATTTAATTTTATATTTTTATCATTTTTTATTTTATTTTGGAAATAATATTTTGGAAACAGCTGCGTCCCTTGCGGCGCCCACAGATGGGGACCACAGTATTAACTACTAGCATAAAAATTATTCAATTTAATTTATTTATTTAATCAACATTAATCTTCAAATAAATTCCTTAAAAAATCTAAATATGGAAATGTTTTCTCAGTCTTAAAATAAAAACGGACAAAACGCTTCGAAAAAATTAGCTCAAATAAACAAACAAAAATTTAAAAATATTGATTTGGTATTTGTGCTCTATTTATAATCATGTTCATTTATTAAAAACGGTTATTTCATATTACATACACTCAAATTTAATTTATACGTATAAGATTATTTGAACAAAACAGATAATATGCAAAAAAAATAGAATTTTAAATTTAATTTACTGCATAATTTGCCAAATAACATAACAAAAATGAAAAATAACAATTAAAATAACCAAATATTCTTAAGTTGTTTTGAGTTCAGCAAATCTATGGAATTCGGCAGTAAATTGACGTTCAGTTTCATTTACTATTATAAAGTTCAAACTATTATATGTACGTATTCTCAATCGAAAAATTGTTTCCAATGCAATTAATTTTAAAATATTTTATATTTGGAATTTTGAACAATCTTTTTGGTACCCAAAGAAAGTATTATCATAAGAACTTAAAAAATCTTTCAGTTCTTTCAAGAACAAAATCCGAAATTAGCAAGCTAGGTGCCCTGGTAAAAATGTAATATATAACGTTTATCATTTCGTTACAATTTAGTCAAAATTCTATATTAGGCCACTTTTCTGTATAAGCTTATTATTATTTTCATAATAAAAATATGCCACGATACTAAAGTTATACCCGATTTTTTAGCCATTACTAATTATTATGAATACTTATTTTCTGCAAGTGAATTGTGAATTGATGTGAATTGTATTAGAATTAATAATTTATAAATATATGTTACGATAACCCACCACAAACTTGGCTAAGGCCTTCATGAAAGCCAAACTTGAAAATGAAGTAATGTCAGCAATAAAATACAATAATATGTAATA